ATTTTTATACGCCTGTGTGTTTCACGCAGTTGTATTTTTATACGCCTGTGTGTTTCACGCAGATGTATTTTTATACACTTGTGTGTTTCACGCAGTTGCATTTTTATATGGCTGTGTGTTTCACGCAGTTGTATTTTTATACACCTGTGTGTTTCACGCGGTCGTATTCAGATACTCCTGTGTATTTCACACTCCTGTGTGTATAAACACACAGGTGTATAAAACTTCAACTGCGTGAAACACACAGCCATATAAAAATGCAACTGCGTGAAACACAGGTGTATAAAAATACAACTGCGTGAAACACACCGGTGTATAAAAATGCATCTGCGTGAAACACACAGGTGTATAAAACTTCAACTGCGTGAAACACACAGCCATATAAAAATGCAACTGCGTGAAACACAGGTGTATAAAAATACAACTGCGTGAAACACACCGGTGTATAAAAATGCATCTGCGTGAAACACACAGGTGTATAAAACTTCAACTGCGTGAAACACACAGCCATATAAAAATGCAACTGCGTGAAACACAGGTGTATAAAAATACAACTGCGTGAAACACACCGGTGTATAAAAATGCATCTGCGTGAAACACACAGGTGTATAAAACTTCAACTGCGTGAAACACACAGCCATATAAAAATGCAACTGCGTGAAACACAGGTGTATAAAAATACAACTGCGTGAAACACACCGGTGTATAAAAATGCATCTGCGTGAAACACACAGGTGTATAAAACTTCAACTGCGTGAAACACACAGCCATATAAAAATGCAACTGCGTGAAACACAGGTGTATAAAAATACAACTGCGTGAAACACACCGGTGTATAAAAATGCATCTGCGTGAAACACACAGGTGTATAAAACTTCAACTGCGTGAAACACACAGCCATATAAAAATGCAACTGCGTGAAACACAGGTGTATAAAAATACAACTGCGTGAAACACACCGGTGTATAAAAATGCATCTGCGTGAAACACACAGGTGTATAAAACTTCAACTGCGTGAAATACACAGCAGTATGAAAATTCGGCTGCGTGAAACACACAAACTTCACGCATGCGTGGAGTGTATGGAGTGTACGGAAGTGATTCACGCAATGGTGCGAATAGTCACGGCCAAAATTAATTGATGACAGTTAAATGGGTATTTATGCTCAAGTGATGATGATCATGATATCCCGAGTCGAATGATTAGACCTGACTAGTTCTACTTAGGTCTTTCCGTTCAGAACTGGATAGGGCTTGGGAAGGCTCGTCCCAAGTGCTTGCGAGACCTTTCTACCTCTGGTTATGTTCCATTTCAGCACTAGTTAGGTGTAAGCAAGACTTGTATTCAGACTTTCCAAATCCTTGCCGGTCCCCGCAATTCTATGGGCCTATATTAAATCCGGGTTCATATCCATCTTTGCGCATGCGTTCTTGAAATAAAAAATGCAATCATTGTTTTTGTTTTAATTTATTGTATTGTTTTTAATCTCGAAAATCGACACGAGAGGGTGGAGGGAAGACGCATGTATGTGGAGACTTGAAATTTTTACTCAACAAGGGGAGAAGGTTGCAAAATCTATTCTAGCCACCCTTGCCCCTCCGTTTGCATGCGTTGTCTAAATAAAAAATGGAATTGTTAACAAGTCTGACCCTTGTTCGAAGTGAAAATAAAAATTTTTTATTTCGACATTTCTGGCGCCTCCGAGGGTGTCATTGACATTGGAAGAGTCAATAAATACGGAATCAACATTCACTTGGCGAAAAAATTCGATTTTGGCGAAAGTCGACTTTCCTCCGGAAGAAATTCAAGATCTGAGACTTTGGCACCGGGTGAAAAAAAAAAATATTTCGATATTGCTGGCGCCTCCGAGGGCTTCATTGGCATGAAAGGGGCCAATAAATACAGAATCAACCTTCACTTGACGAAAAAATTCGATTTTGGTGAAAGTCGACTTTCCCCCTGGAAAAACTGAAAATCTGACACTTTGGCCCTCGTGACCCTTTGACCGACCTTCCCCATGAAAAAAATCTAAGATCTGACACTTTGGCCCCCGGTGAAAAAAAAAAAATTTNCTTAAATAGTTAGAATCAACGTTCACTCGGCTAAAAAATTCAATTTTGGCGAAAGTCGACTTTCCCCCTGGAAAAATCCAAGATCTGACACTTTGGCCCTCGTGACCCTTTGACCGAATTTCCCCCTGAAAAAATCCAAGATCTGACACTTTGGCTCCGGGTGAAAATTTTTTTTTTTTCATTTTTCACTTTTTCCACATACTTTTGAGAGTTCTGAATAGCCCGTCGCTTAAATAGTTGGCATCAACGTTCACCCAGCTAAAAAAATCGATTTTGGCGAAAGTCGACGTTCCCCCTGGAAAAATTATCGGATATTTTCCGATAGCTTCCCTGCCTCGGAACGAGTGTGTCGAATTTTGCAGAAAAATCCCTCGTGCTTCGTACTCGGGATTTTAACCCTGCAGAATTTGACACAATCGTTCCTAGGCAACGAAGCTATCGGAAAATATCCGATTAATTTTGAAGCACGAGTGGTATTTGAAATTTTTTAGAAATTTCCGAAATAAAACTGTTTGACAGCCTCAAATACTGCGCTCTGATTGGCTGAAATCCGAGTGAGAAAAATAATCAATAAAAATTACGCATCTTTTCTATAATTTAGGAGCGGAATGTGGTTGTAGGAAATTTTACGGAACTGTCACGGAATTTTTCCATAGCGTTTTGTAATTTTTACCTGAATCCCCTGCCAAAAAGTACGATACCGAAAATTTCTATAGGAATCGCCGAAAATTTTATCGAAAATCCCGAGAAATTTTTACCTTAACAACACTAGAAGTTTTCATAACCGGTGAATTGGAATTTTTTCCTGTACTAGCACTAGAATCTTTATAAAGATTACTCTCCGTGCCCTAACGTTAATTTCGTATAAATAACCAAAGGTCAAACTTACAACCAAGCGACGATTTCATTATTACAGAATTAAAGAGACGTATCAGTTCGGAGAGAATTCCGACTAAAGTGAAGTCTTCTTCTCTTTCTTACAAGTGACGATTGTTTCCAGGGAATGCATACAAATCTTCTCTTTTTGTAATTCGAATAAGGAGAAGGCAATACGTTACAATATTTTCCCGTCCCAAATGTCCCATTTTCCCCCAAACTCTCCAATCAATTAAGAAATGTCGTGATAGACAAGCATTATCTTTTTTTGCGTGATTTTGATGACAAAAATTCAGTGCCCACATCATCAAAAATTCATTACAGCGATCTACAATGCAAGAAAATATGAGAATGCCCGAATGATTCCACCGAAAACCCGGAATTGCTACCACCAACATGATTATAATGATGTACGACTTCCTGTCGTAAAAAAATTGTATGTGAACCCATGGAACAAGGAAACCATTGTGAATTCAAATCCAGAGGTTTCATCGTGTCCTCGAGGTTTACCATACAATGTGGAAAACATCCTCCTCGATGACTTCCGCAAAACGGTCTGTCATCAGAGACGATTCCTCACCCGAGTTCATTTCCACCGTTTGTGGTGTCAAGGACGGAACAAATATGAACCTCCGTCTGAGACAGATCACACGAAACAAAGATTTGAAATCAATCCGAGACGAATTCTTTACATTTGTTGCCACACTTTCTCGTCATTTTATCATTTATTCCTTCATTGTTTCCCCTTCAATTCAGTAGCGAAGTGGTTCGACAGTCTACGTCGATTTAGCTCTCATCTGAGTTTTTGAGGAATATCTCTGACTCTAAGGCAGATAACGAAATTTTTGTAATTACCTTTATTGGATTATGTGTAGGAATACTCAATAAAAACACATTAGTTTTATTCTTCAAAGTAAAACTCTTTAATGATCGCACGCAGAAGGTATATCTTTCTCCAACGAAGTCTCTAGGACGACTAACTAAAAGTCATGAGAGTTTTCACTCTCTGGACCCATTTGACAAAAGGCCCTTGTTTCAATTTTCTTCAGCCTCTCCTTTGTGACTCACCATGAGGACTGTTTTTCTTCACGTCTCTATTTTCTAAGAAAAGCCATAAATGTCACCCTGAGTGTTTGGGTGGAAAAGAGAAAATATTTAACTAAACTAAGAAATTAATTTTTGTATTCAGGCATGAATTCCAACAACCTTGTTAGAGATCGCGGCTATGATGTTAAGGCGGATTGGGGGGAAGTGTTTTGGAAAGGGTGAAAATTAAAGACCACGTGGATTACAAAAAACATTGGTGATGTACTTTATTTGTGGCGCAAGCCACGCCTCTTGATTTTAGGGATACACGAATCGTTGAATGTCTCAATGTCAATTTGATAACAGTCTTTACACTGCACTAGATAATCTGTTGATAATAAACTTGATAATTGACTCAAATAATTGACGATTAAATCGAAATAAATAGATAAATCAACGAAATAGAGACGCTACATGGAGTGCTAGACTCAATATACCACGGTCATCTACTCGATACTCGGTGACTTTGAAACTGTACTGTATACACTGATAGAATGATTCATTTATTCCAAACGAGATTCGTTAACTATTAACGAATGGTAGAGTTGAATATGACCAAATGAATATTCGTTAATAGTTAACGAATGGTTCACTTGAATGGCGAAAGTCAAGTCAAACAAGCCTCAAATATACATTCGTTAACTATTAACGAATGAACATTTGGTGGGACCGAATAGACCCTAACCTCCAACCAAAAT